ATTTCTTTTGAAGCCGCGATATTACCAGTGATCAAGCCAAAAATTTGGAATCTCTATGTAGACGACACATTCGTTATCGTCAAAAAAGAATTAGCTAGAAAACACTTATAAGCTGATCAACAACGTCTTCGATGATATTAAGTTCACAATGGAACAGGAGTCAAACAACAAACTATCATTCTTGGATATATTAATCACTAGAACCGACACAGGAAAACTAGAAACTCAATTATCTAGGAAACCGACCCACACAGATCAAATTCTTAACTACGATAGCAACAACCCAAGAGCACATAAAATCAACTGCGTACAAACTTTGTTCAAGAGGGAGAGGACACACTGCAGCACACTGGCAGCACGAAGAAAGGAAGAGAAATACCTGAAGGACGTATTTCAAAAGAATGGCTACCCAATCAACTTCATCAAAAAATACCAACCACATGCAGTATCAGAGCACAAATCAAGCACAGAAATCAACAAACGGATCACCCTACCATACATAAATGGGATATCAGAAACCGCAACAAGACTGCTAAAAACCTTCGGGATAGGTGTGGCACACAAACCGACAAAATCACTACAATCAATCCTATGCAAACCAAAGGATAAAATAACAAAAGAAGATAAATCGAACATCATCTACAAAATAAAATGTGTCAACTTCGACAAACACTACATCGGATAAAGCGGACGCCCCCTTCACCTGAGCCTACATGAACATCAATTAGCAGTCAAACGGCATGATATCTCCTCACTTATATCAATACACGTGGACAACTGCGGACACACATTCGATTGGGAAAATGTAGAAATCTTGGACAGAGGAAATTCCAAAAACACAAGAGAATTTTTAGAAGCCTAACACTCAAGTCAGTCAGCAATCAACAAACATATTGAAATCGATCCGATTTATCAACCAATCAGGAAACTTATGCACAAATACAGGAACAAGAATCAAACCAATAGGAGACAAAACCAAAACAAAAAGGTAAACAATGACAAATTTAAGCTCAATAGGAACTAATCAACATCGAGGTGCACAGAACAAGCTGTGAAACGCGTATGGAGAAATTCGAGCACTTCACTTCTGTCTGAAGTTTGTGCTGATGATGTCGTCCAGAAGAACGATGAAAGCTCCACGACCAAACCATCCAGCTCAGAGAACAAAACTCTGTCAAAATAAGAGCTCTCAGATGGTAATTGGAGGTAATCGACAGGAAACCCTGGACGAGCGTTTCGTGCTATTTGGCACTCGTCAACAAGATGTACTTGTAACCTTAAGGGAACTGGTGATCCTTGACGGATTCGGTCGCGTGTCACCCAGCTTCACAGTCAGAGACGTTACCACTTGGCTATCCGGGCCGCGACCGACCTCCTGTAGGACTGAGATGTAATCACCATTGATTGATCACTTGGTAGTGATCAATGTCATGTGTGTCAAGTGCTTATTAGTGCAGATCGAATACTATTGACTATGTTGAGATTAGATGGAGGTTGGAGGAAGTTGACATAGTGCTCGCAATGTCGAGTCACTTAGACTGATGGCCACATTGCAACATGGTCGATAGCATTCGATCTTCACTAATAAAGACTTAACACACATGACATTGATCACCACCCAGTGATAAAATCTCTCAGTAATTCAAACATTTTATCTATTTTAAAATCCATATTTAATATCAAGTATAAATGTTTCCATTACCTCATTGTTGATATTCAAGTTTGCATTTGATCACATTTCATAAATCAATAATAGATTCCTTGAAAAAAATATCTCATTATTCTCTGTTTTTACAAGTTTAATAAATTTATACAATGCTCCATCAAATATATCCTGTTAAAGGGGCTACAATAAAACGGACTAAATTCTTTGAATTCCACCGCTAATTCTTATTGGAAAATATAATTTATTTTTTTAGTTAAGTTGGTTGTAGAGATTGTATTTTTACATAATAAACTGTCAATTATTGAAAGCCAACAAGCATTAGACGACTATTTCGTCCTAGTAATCGATTCATCAGCAGAGGTCGCCCACAACTACACTAGAGATTGAACTTTAGACGTTTATGAGTCAGAGCGAAAGCCGAAACCTTGAACACTGTTATAAGAGGGTTGTCCGAGACTGGTACTAACAGACAAACTTCATGTGTGCAAACCCCCAACTAGTTAATGAGCAAGAAGACAAGAGTGAAGGAGGAATTTTATTGGGCTCCAGAATTACATTGCATTAACGTTCATTTGCATAAATTTATATACCATGACAGCTTAGTGTGACAACTTAGGCCAACACTTCTTTGTACCAGGCTTTACTTAGATTTTGAAAGACTTATTTATTTCTAATAAACTCGATATAAAATTATTCTTACACGACTGATGAAAACTGTATAATGGCACAAAAGACTTCTGTCGCTCCTACAAAATGTTACAGTCGTCAAGATACCCCTTTTACTGAAATGACAGATGATCCAAATTCAACTTTTATATACCACATTGCTAACGATTTTTTTCTAATGAATGTTACAATAGAGCAAAGCGCAGGCTAAAGTCTCCACATATTAGTTAGTTTCAAGCATTTAAATGTAAATCCAAAAGACTAAAGTACTGAATCGCTCATTATAAACTGTAAGAATGGTCTAGCAACAATTTACTAGCCTTACAAAAAATAGGACATTGTTCAGTGGTCAGTAAGGATAAATTCATATTTCATATGCTGATAATTTAAGGATACTGTACTTACTAGCAATTCATAGATTCAAGGTCTATGGTGGGGTAGCAACACCTAGGCACTGTATCTTAACTGTTTCAATTTTGATGGTATCAACCAAATAAATTAGTCATCAGTTTATGGAACGTAGAATCATTTCTGTGGAAAGTTCGTTAGTTCGAGCTTTGATTACTTATGCAAGATTTCTCTATAAAACAATTCTTTAACTGATTAGGATACTTTCATCAATCATGATCAACTTACGTAAAGTTAGACGGTGTAAATTTCTGGAGATTATTTCCAACCGCTATACATAGTAGTGAGTTTAAATAAACTGATCAAGTGGTTTAATCTACAAATTAAACTATAGATATTGAATTTACCACCAAACATACATCGAAACAAGATATTTTGAGTATCAAAAGTTAGAACCGGAAGTGAATTTGTACGTACCAGTTTCCGAATAGATCTTATTGGTTTAGATTACCTGAGATACAACTTAATTACATAACTTTTGAACGACTGTACTAATTCTCAAGTATTGTAACAATGAGTTTGGTACAACCTAGAGTAAAATTGTTTAGTGCACTTGTCAAACTGACAGTATGAATTACAAAATGCGATGATGTTTTGTTGAACGAATCATAATAATTTCATTACGTCTATTTAGTAGTAAATTTCCTTCTCCGGGCAGTCAGATATTAAGGAAATATGACATTGTATAAAATTGCATCGGTTCATGTTTACTACTATATCATTGAAGCAAGATGTTATTAACAAGATGTACAATAAAAATTTTCCAAGACGTCTAGTGTCCGTAATCGATAAAACAAAATAAACACAGGACCATAGAAAATGAAAAAGATTTAAGAATTTAAAGTGTGAAATAATCTTAAGACTGAAAATCTGATAAAAGGATAAATATTCTATGTACCTGCACTACTACAACTGATTCTAAGTTGTCTTAAACAACCATCAATTATGATTGTTCTATGATGGATCACAGTCAGCAGGCTTTCATATCTTTACATGTCTCAGATTATTATTTGACAACTTTACTAGATGATGCGGTTTTTCACAGTTAACAGTCTTTAAACAGGATTTTGCATATGTATCAGTCATATTAGCCGTAATATGACAAACTAATTAGATGTTAGAATAAATATCATAGTTTCACCTAGAAAAGTGATAGGCATACATCGTCCAATGAATATTTTGTTTCTCAATATTCGTTAACTATGAACTATATAAATTTATTGAACTGACATAATTCTCAGTATGTTAAAATATGATAAAGTAACAAATGAACTACTCATAAGTACGCAAAGTCGTTTCAAATTATTTCATTCCTAATTTCCTGAAAATTTTATGATTTCATTCAAGTAAATGTTGAATAAAAGTTATACAATACATTTTCTGGAATAGTCAGCCTAGAAGTTTATCCAACACCAGTTCTGTCATAATACGATCTTTTTATTTTGTTTAGCACTTTGTTTGAAATAGAAAATCAGATACCTCTGAATACTTATGAAATAGATGAGAGATTAACACATTATTCTTACTCTTGCCTTAAGTCTCATTTCAAATTACTTCATTCTATGGTCATTAACACAACTGATAAACAGATCAAACTGATTATCATGAATCAAATGAATGGCGAGAAGAGAGCAGCAATCACAAATTAGTAGAGTGCATGTGAAATGGAAAAAGATATCGGGTCCTCCTTGGTTTTTAATTGCCGTATAGCTAAAGTCACTCATTGATGTAAACTACAAAGCGGACATTATACATCAAGTTCCTGCGTAAATAATAGCGCTGTAATCATCAGCTATCTACATCGATGAGTATTCTCAAAGTTCTAATGACAGTGTGTAGTCAGCGTGTTTAGATATGTCGGACATGTGATAACCATTTTTAGTTAAGACGGGTAAATTTCGTGCAATAGTAGCAATCGACTGAAGTTGAATAATGTGAACTATTAGGTGTCAACTAGTGGTCTAAAACTTATGTACTGACTTAAAAAACTAAAGTTGTTGGAGATAATATGTAGATTCTTGGTTGAATAATATTTTGGAGAGTTTCATAATAGGACAAGATTGGTGCTTACTGCTTGATGTTTTCCGCAGATTGTCTAGCTAAATTCAGTTCTTAGTGCAAACTACACAAGTAATGATATTATTCATTGATCATGTTAACTTATATATCATAATTGTTATCACTGCTTTTAGTGCAACCGATTAGTTGATTATTTTCCTACTGTAAATTATTCATCGTTCTTTTTTAGCATTGCACCCAAATGTACATTGAGTCCTCTGGAGGTTACACCAAAAAATGGGGTGGTCGTAGTCATACAGCTACGCCTTACGGTCCAGATGGTACAATGACAGGAACTCATTGGTCTGGTGCCTCATTAAAAACTAAAACTCGCAAAACTCTTGTAAATCAACCACAATCCGTACCACAATTATCACCAATGGCATATTTATCCCCAAAACAACAACCAGATTTTCGTTCATTGAATGGTTCATTACCATTGACTAATAATCAGTATCCATTTCTAAAACGTGACTCATCGTTTTTTTGTAGCAGTAGTCCAGTACCAAATACCCCAGTTACAGGATGTGAATGTGTTGATAATATACGAGAGAAATCAATTCCAGAAATTCAAACTGCTCCAACATCCCCTGATCTACTCTATGCACCTCATTTGTTTACTAAAAATATTTTAAACAATAATAATAACACTACTGTTAATATTACTACTTCTTCTGGTACAACTTTTCCTAATAATAATAGTAATGAGATATATTATTCGAATGGATCAAAAGAATCAAGAAGTTTATCAAATGATATAGCATTTCGAATAAAAGAGAAGTTCGATCAACGTGTATCAAGGCATTTATCTAAATCTAATCGGAAAACAAAGTCGAACATATATACTTATACATCACAATATCATTTACTTGCAGTATTTTTAGTCAATAAAGGTCATGTAGAAGCGTGGTATGCATATGCACCAATGCCAAATCATTACAGTAATAATCAACAAAATGAATTAGGACATACTCGTTTATTAGAATTAACACAACGTCGATTACGTTTACTTCAACGTTATTATTCTGATTCTAGACAGTATGTTGTACTCTATGTGAATAATAATAATTCTGAACATTATTTACCAATGGGATTAGTTAATGATGTGAATAGTAAACCGAGTAAAAATAAAAATCCTATCTTATCAATAAATAGAGAGTTATTTGAAAGGGATCGATCAATTTATAGATTTATCAATTCATTATTACCGAATAATATGAAATTTGTCAATACTACTGGTAATAATAACAGTAGTGATAAACAGATATTTGTAAATAAAAAAGTTAATAATACTAAATCTATAAATGATGAGAAATTAACAAATAAAATAGATGAACATCAGCATCAATTGAGTCGACGACATCAACAACAACAACAAACGATTAATAATCAAACTGAAGAGAAACAGTTAAGTGAAACAGAACAACTAGTCAAAACGACAAATTCAATAAATCATCGACCGAATTTTTGGAGAAGGTTACTTGAACATTTGATATCACATCATCATTCCACTGATAGTAGTACTATTAGTAGTAATAAAAATAGTTATGAAGATAATAATAATAATAATAATAACAGTACAAACATTGATAAGGAAAATTGTTCTGACAATACCAATGAAAATGTTGATTTCAAGTGTTATGAAAAGTGTTTACATTTGAACAGTTGTCTAGTTAAACAGTTTATTACTTGTCCTGTGAAAGTAGATAAATCTGTAACATCATCGTCGACTACAATACCCATGAATGTTACTAAGAATATATGTAGAAATTATTTTAATATTGGTCAATGTAGCAATCATGATAATAATAATAATTGTCGAAGTATGAAAAAGGAAGATTGTTTCACTTCATTTAAAACGAACATAACAAATGATGATTTATCAAGTATGCACCAAATCTGTGCTCATGACAAGTTATCTGATGTTAATAAATATTATGCTGATAATCAACAAAATATGAATGATAAAGAAAATGATCAAGAAAAATATGAAATTAAATCAATCAAAAAATTATCAGATTGTGATGAAATTTGGTTGCCTAAATTTTGTGATTTATAAATTTACTGGTAAATGTATGTAGTAAATCATAAAATAGTAAGTTATTCATATATTTAACTTTAATTTTAGAGTAGTTTATTTGATACTTTATATTAACTGAATGAACAGGATACCATATATCTTACAAAACATATCGTTTATAAATGCCTTATTCTCATATTTTATTGAACACTAATGGACGTAGAGAATATGTTTAATTAATAGATAAACTTTGGTTAGAAACTAAATAAAAAACGCACGTCCTGTTCGAAGTGGAGCTCGCCATATGAATGTATCCCTGTGTTGATGATCACATCTGAACTTGAACGTTTGTCCACAATTGCTCAGTCAATTATCTGTTGAGCTGCTTAATTTTGATGGTCACTAGTTTGTGAGACAAGTATGAATTCGTTTTAATTTATTGTGTTTATTGATATTTATGAGAAAATTATAATCAGTCTGAAATAGCCATTATCTGTCTGTTCTATAAAATTCGTGACATAATTGCTATATTTACCCAATCCACACAAGAAGATTCTATGCCAACTAATCATGAATATGAACAACGAGATAATTCAAACCATAATAAACTAAAAATTTACTTATTCTTTCCAGAAATTCAGAAACATAACTTACACCAAACACTTACTTGAAATGAAGCCATAAACATTAAACTAGCTTCAACTCATGAGTTTATATTTTGAATCAATCATTTCTAAACTCCTACTTGTGATAAAATCCCTAGTGGTAATAAAAGACTTAACGAAATAGCAGTGTTGTTGAGTGGTTTCGATGTAAAATAAAACAACTTTCCAATATCCTCTCATTTTCAATAATCATCAGTGTGATAACACTCTTAGCGTCGAATTTAACAGATTCTCACAAGTTTCTTATATTAGTGACAACTATGTGCTGCCTACAGACTGATTTCTAGAAGAATCCTTGGAGTTTCAACGAGGAGTCATTGTCGATAAAGCTCAGCTATGTCCGGCATAGGACAGGTAATTAGTGGTAGTTGTGCAACAATCCTCAAAACAAGTACTGGATCTTAACTGGTGGTTTAAAACAGATGAGTTTCCTAAAAGGCCTAAAGGTACTGGGTCCAGTCGCTGTGAGGATTCTCACTGCCCACTACTGAGGAGTTTCATACGAAATCGAAAGTTACTCACTTATCCCAACCGTCAAGTTAGAGTCAGTCAATGAAATAAACTGAAACATTATCGCAACTCTTCATTATGTTTGATAGTTATCGTTAGTTTAGAAATTTACCAGAAAGTTGATTAAAAAACGGTAGGATGTGAATCAATATACTCTCTGTGTACAGAGCAGACAATTTGGTTTGTTTTTAGTTTGATTAATTGCATTTTTCTCAAAAGAGATGAACACATACAACAAACGCTTATCTTTGTTTTACTTGAAATCAATAGTTTTTTTCTCATACCTATATCATCTCTTATATTTGATTAATTTCAAATGATCATGTTTAGTTATATGAAAATATCATCAGACATTTTCCCACTAAAAATATATTACACAGTTCAAGAAATATTTCTGCAATCAGACTCTGCTTAGATGTTAGGTCCCGATATGAATAATGAATGATAACTTTTGGGCCAATACTATACGCATATTTTTATCGTATAGTTGCTAAGCAACTAAACTATTCATATTCGTGTCCCTCTTATTATGAGCTTTATTTTGACCTATGAACCATTATTATACCATTTACCATTCTTGAATTACTACCTCCCTCATTCGCAGCCACATTTAGCTAACTCTTGTACAAATGTTGTTTCCTATTTTATGGTACGGTGTGGTCTGTCTGGTGGGTATATAAACCCAGTATGCTTGAAGTAAATGATTCATATTGGGGAGGCTGAGATTGGTGTTCTGGACTTAACTGGCTGGGCTAGGAGGAAAACAGGACCAATCAGGACTCTAGACTGCTCGTACAGGTTTATGCGTCACTGGTCCGATCGATAATTCACTGCTCTCTAATTGGCGGTATCGTTACATTATACATTAACAGGGCAATCAGGCCACAAGTTATAACATTAGACCCAAGAACTTTCAACCCAATCAAGAATACTTGTTAACAAGAGAACATTTACAATTTGATGAATTTAAATCTCAGTGGTACTGGAAGACTATTTGATTGAATTATCTCTAATAATCAATCTGTATTTCATTAATTAATCACAATTGAATTAAGAAATTGGTGTGCAATATTCAGTTTTATAAACATCCTCATTGATTGGAAATCTGTTAACCTTTGATGATATGGTCCATTTAAATGGCAAAGTAAATCAGCGATGTGCACATAACTTTCAAACTTTATATTCATAATTTTATTTGTCTTTCCTTTATCTCAGTACTTTCCTTTTTTTCTATGTTCTCAACAGATTTCATCGATTAGATTTTTAAACATGAAGTGAGGAATTTACAATACAGTAAAAGACGATCGGATCAGTTGAGAAAGAAATCCTGGTTAAATGTCATTGACCTCTTTAATCAAGTCATGATTAGTTGATAAAAACTATACAAAAACAGTAACTGAAATCTTTGTTACAAGTCGCTATTTTCATTAACACTAGTACGTATATTTCAATATAAACTACTTTGATACAAATGCTCAAATATTGTGAATAAAAGCCCATATTTCTGAATTAAAAGAATGTCTTGTTTGTTGTTTGACAACCATCTATAATTTAATTGCTTCAATGAAAACAGGTCAATAAAGAAGTCATCTACGCAAATTTGTATCCAATTTACGTCGTGTAGAAAGATAGCACAATAAATTTGAATCATCAGTTTGAAGGTCGGTTTTAAATGAAAAGATGTGGTAATTGGGCCTCAACCACTTAGAACAGATGTTATCGATGACACTGAACAGTGGTACCACAATATTATGAAACGATGTGACATACAGATCCTTGCCTTCTAACTTGATGAGACTACAGGGAGATACTACGGAACGGATTGAAACTAGCGTGAGACACATACTCAATCACATATTCTAGGTGTTTTTTTTCTGAGACATACACTAACATTTCTTATGAAATTTTATTCTTTTGGTTAGCAAAGTGATTTTAACTGTATTATAAATAAATAGATTCCAAATAATTATCACAAAGTGCGAAGGCGATTCCAATTACTGTTCAACGTACGTTTGATAAATAACAATTCTTAACTTCATACCATTACATCTTTAAGAGAAATGCAAACAAATAGGTTAGTATGTAGTCAAGACTATGTAGTTAATTATATTGCTCTGAAATACCTAGAAAAACCTTAAATAAAATTCATATCTAGATCCATTCATCAAGATGCTGAAATCATACAGTAAATAAAAAAAACATGAAGAAAATACTGTTGATAAATTCTTGATAAATGGTGGTTGAATTTTAGAATCTGTTGACTTTTAGTCAAAACGAATGCACATTTTACACACCGTTCATTTGAACCACCTAACATAATCAATGACTTTATTTTATTTATTTGAACACATAAATATTGGTACAAGGGGGCACCAGATATATATATGCGCCACACAATAGCAATGAGAATGGGGAGAGAAAAATAGTGTAAGATGTGTATAAGAGAGAAGGAAGAAAAAGAGAATAACGACCACAGATTAGTGTATGGTTGTGTGATAATAATAATGAGGAAAACGGAAAGGTATAACCAGAAAGAATTCTTTCAGTTAAGGAAGTTACAACCACTTTTTATGAAGAAAGTAAAAGAAGGTTACAGCAGCATCGCCACTGGCTTCTATTCTGAGCCATATCTGATAACGCTTCTAGCCACTGTGTTACACCATCTCTCGGACCCCAGCCAGGGAGTCGTGAAGGACCAACACAAGCCAGACCTTTGCAGCTTTCCTTCGTACCACGACACCATATCATATACTGACCACCTCTCTGCTTTTTCCAACAAGTCCAAGAGTTGGCAAATAATGCACGATGAGAAACTCTCTGGGACGACATTCGTAGAACATGTCCAAGCCACCGAAGTCGGTGTTTCAAGATGGTGACACCAATTGGATTATTGACACTGAACCTCTGCATTACTAACATGGTGTTGCCTCTGGATGTCAGCAATCCTTTGGAGACAACGATGATCAAACACAGAGTCGTCTAACATCCTCAACTCGAAGAGGCCAGGTTTCAAAAGCATAAAGCAAAACTGCTCACCGACGCGTTGTAGATCCGACCTTTTACAGCCAGCCTAACATCACGAAGGCGCCAAAGATGACCCAGATTTTAAAACGCCGCTCTGGTTTTCACAATACGTGCATTGATTTCATCACTCACACCACCACTTATGCAGCAACCTAGATACACGAACTTCTCGACTACTTCTATCTGCTCACTATCCAGGGTGAGTACAGGATTAGAATCCTGCCAGTCTTGTAGAAGTACAATACATACAACGAAAACCAGCCTATTCCTCACGAGTCAATCTTTCTCGGGTTTTGAACAACCTACGAAGTATGACGGAAGCCAACAGTTTGGACGCAATCGGAAGTAAACTTATCCCCCAATAGTTGTTACAGAAACGACGCAAACCCTTCTTAATGATAGGAACAACTATCGAGTCGTTCCATGATGTTGTAACACTCTCTAACTCCCATACCTTTGTAAACAACGTCAGTTTCCAAACCAGAAAGTCACCATATTAAAAAAAGCCGGAGGTAAGTCATCTAGGTCTTCATGGACGGAAATCACTGTGTTGATGAGTACAAGGTTTAACTATTTGCATTAGTCAAAATTATGCTTCTTTTTATTCGTAATACCGTTCTATCAAGAATGGTAATGTTGTTTTTAGCATATGGTGTTGAAATGCACCTTTTATTAATAGAATATCAGATAGAATGAATAAAAATAAATCGGCGTTGGTTACTATTTGAATAATTCTACCTTTTCTTAAAAATTACTAATCAACAGAGAATAAAATCATCGGCATTTGAACCTGAAATGTTTGATTATTAACATTAGTGAGATAGCTTTTGGATAATTGAT